CCCCCCCCACCCACGATAGAGGGAAAAAGGGGGGAGGGGCTGATGGTTCCCATACCTCCAAAGCCCAGGCCACCCCTCACCTGTCCAACCAGGGTGTGCAGGGAGCGGAAGATTTCGCAGAGCACCTCTTGGGACAAGCTGGGGCTGCAGCTTCGCTCCAGGCTCCTGTCACCGCGGCTCTGACTGTTAAGCTCCGTAGCAGCAGCCATGACACCTTAGCAGGCCGCCCCCGCCACCACCGAAGTCTGCTCAAAGCCCCACCCCCTCCCTCTTCTGCTTTCGTCGCTCGAGGATGACGCTAAAACACAGCGTCTCATTTGGAGCAGAGATTTGAGGGCCCACCCTCTTTAGGTGATCGACAGGGACATACACCAATCAGGTGCAACTATAGCGTTGCGCCCAGGATCCGAAGCAGATAGTTGCAGGCACAATGTTGTACTTGGGATGATGGAGTCGTGATCTGTTAAGGTTTAGCGTCATGAAACCTTCCTTGACTCAAATGTGCCTTATCAGTGATGGTATGAGGACATTTACTGTCAACTGTCAGAGTTCAAACTCGGAAATTAGCCTTCAAAGTTTTAACATGGCGTCGTGGAATGTTCTGGAGAAAGACTGCTGGTCAGGGATGTGTTTCTAAACACTGGAAAACTTGCACAGAATTGTTGTAATTGTGTAGATCGTTTTCATCTTGAAAAGGGTGGTTAAAACTTACACAAATCAATGCTATTAATTTATCATGCAAGAGAGAAGATATGAAAGAACAATAACGGTGCTCCATTATGCCTCAATTTACTATCAAGGCAATGACATTAATGACTTTAAGTCTGCAAAATAACTTCTCTTTTAAATGTGTAACAAATGCTGTTCTATGAGTGATAACTGTAGAGGTGCTCAACCCTAAAAGTATATCAAAAATGTACATTTAAGTCGGACTTTGACAGGAATTTAACCCAAGTAATTTTATCCGACCAGTCTTTGAAATTAGGACATAAAACTGAATTGAAATTTGACACAGTATTATTTTTCAAATAGCTTTATTATAAAATGTATGAAATACTTTGGAATCTTTTAGGCAGACTAATGTTTAAGAGAACATTACCCAACTGAAGAAACACGTTTTAGAAGAATTTTTGGTACTAAGTTCTATTTTAAAAATACTTTTAAAAAGTAAACATATCAGTCAAGAGATAGGGGACTAGAGATTTAAAACTCTTTAATTCTAAAAAGTCTAATGCATTTATTGTAGAGGAAGCAAAGGTGGAAACTTGCACAATGTGTATTCTGTAGTTTTAGAGCAGACTGAATGAAAGGGAAGGAATAAGGCATCAAGGAACTGGAATAAGGACAGAAAGGATAAAAGAATTCCTTTGACCTGTCTCTAGGGAGCCCCTTAATTAGGTTTTCATTTCCAAAGACTTGTAGGATCACCAGGCTTAACAGGATCTTAAGAAATCTTGTCTGTTCCCTTGTTAGCAGCAAGATAAACTGTTGATAGATAGTCCAGCTTATGTCTAGAGACAGAAAAAGACTTCACAATATCCAGTCCCAAACTGATCACCCTTCTCATTCATGCCATCATCCCCAAATCTAACTAAATTCATGACTCTGCAAGATTAGCATGTTTTCTTTGCTTCCAATTCTCTTGTAAATAGAGAATAATTGTAATGGGATAACTACTGTATAATAAAAGTTTTTGTTCTGTATGAAATTAGCAATTAGTTTCAAATCACTTGTTTTATCAAGGGATGAAGTGATTTTTAAATATGCAGGACACTGGTATGCCACACATTTGGGAATATAATTTGTATACTGAAAGACTATCATGGGGGGGGTGTCAACCAGTGGCATGCTGGTTACAGTGGCTTGATCCCACATGGCCGATTGTACTGTTTGAGTCCCAGACCTGGCAGTTAGAAAAACACTGGGCACGTGTGCATGAATGTACAAAATCCCAAGAGGTGAATGGAGAAGGAATTGCAGCATTGCCATTCCCCTGGTATGTCCTTTCTTACTTTCTCTTCCTTTTAAACAGAATACTATCTTAAACAAGGTTCTGTTCATCCTTTTCTTTTCCATTTTTAATTTGGAATTTCAAGTTTTACTTGTTCCTTGAATTCTAATACAGAATTAACTTATGGTCACTTAATTTCTAAATCAGTCTTCTATGTAATACAGTTTTGATATTCAGACTTGCCATTATGGCTTAGTGTTGTTTACTTAGGAAATACCTAGAATTTAACCCTTTCACACCTCATTTCTTCTATCTAATTTGTTAACTCTTTTGTGCTTATTTCTTCTAAGGACTTTCTGATTCTTGATGCCTGTTACCTTCATTTTGGAAATTAAAATAAAAAATCTTCTTTTATAAATTCTGTTTTAAGTAGAAGAGTTTGTAGCTAAAAAGATGTAAATTTCTTTGGGCTAACACCAAATAAAAATGTGTAGATGTTAATGTATAACAAAAATATGATAAAAGCTGTGAAATTTAGGAAATAAAGAAAATAATTTGCCTTTTATAGAAAACTAATTATAGTGGATTGCTGAAAAATCTGCTGCCTGGCAGAAATGATTCAGTGTTGGTGTTGGCATTAGCAACAGAGTTAGAAATACTGTCCTGCAAGTATATGCCAAGAACCAATTGGGAAGATAGAAACTAAAAATAAAATCTAGGCTATCTACCTTCTGAACAAAAATGTCCTTTGTGATGAATCTTAAATAATCCAGTGCCCAGCAAAATGTCTGCAGTATTAAATTGCTTAACTGGTATTTGTTGTATCTATGGTAAGGAAAATTTTTCTAATGCTGAAAAGGAAAAATAAATGGTACTTGTTTTTTCTGAGTCCCCATTCTTATCCAGCCAGATGAGTCCAAGTTTCATACAATGACATTGAAAGGTCTTGGAATCTGGACTGTTCCTAAATTTCTAGCCTCATTTTTTTTTACCATAAACTGTGTGGTGCTTACCACTTGAAACAGCTTTTCCTTCTTCAAAACGTACTATTTCTTACCTCTATGCATTAATTTATGCTGTCTGCCTCTTTTCTGTTTGGGAAACTGTTTCCATCTTCAAGCTCCAGTTAGGAAATCTCTGAGAAGTCTTTCCTCATATCTCTTCTCATAAAGAGCTTATTTCCCCCTCTGCTTGATTCCTACAACTTGTATATAGTTTCGTTATCATACTTGTCAAGTTGATATTCACAATTATTTGAATGCATCTTGAAAATCATGCCAGTTGCATGTGTGCATGTGCCCAAGATCCCAAAAGGAGAATGGAGGAGAAGAGATTGCGATGTGGCCATCTTCTCTGGAGCATTATTTCTTACTTTCTCTCTCTCTGTTTCTGTCTCCCTCCAGTGAGCACACATGCCCTATGGCAAAAACCTACATACAAACAAACGTTCCTTATGTCATAGTGTAGGTGGGCTGGAAATTCAGGAGTAATTTTGTGTGGTGGTTCTACCATGTGGTCTGGAGTAATTCAGCAAAATTAAGGCACAGTATTTTTTAGGACCTAGTCTCTCAAATCATATGTTACCACTTTGATCTGATTCTGTGGGTTAGAAGTAAGTTACTATGGGGCCAGCAGATGACATAGTGGTCGTGTTGCTGGACTCCCATGTGGCTGACTACGGTTCAGTCATGGTGGCTTGAGACTCAGGCCAGATGCATGAGCGTGTGTGCTCAAGATTCCAGGAGGAGAGTGAAAGACAGGCAATTGTGGGGGTGGGGGTGAGGGGGTGGTTATTTCTCCCTTTTTCTCTCACTGTTTTCTTTCTCTCTCTCTCTTCCCCCCAATCCCCCTCAGAGTGCACACCCTCTAAGACAAAAGCCTCTTAAAAAAAAAAGTAAGTTACTATGTCTGTCCCAATCAATGGGAGAGAAGAGGCTCCACATCAACATTTAGAAAATTAAGGAGCAATAAAGAATTTTGTTTTAATTTAAAAATTGTCTTTACTTAGATGCATTCAAAATGTCAACAAAGCAGCTGCAACTTTCTCTTTTTTTTTTAATTACAGAGTGGTAGTCAGCTAATAGAACAACAATTACTTTGTATAAGGTGCATCAGAGACAACTGAAAATGAAAAAAAAAAAAACCTACCATTTCCATGTATAACTAATTTGTGCCATGCACCAACAAGGACCTGCTTTAAGTTTCCATGGCAATTTACAGCCCTTATATGGTACAAGGCAAGATTAATGGTGATGCAGGAAT